TGTGCAGAGGGAATGATGGGGAAGGTGAAGTTTGGCTGCAGGGCTGGGAGGGGGAGGGAAGGCAGTGACCCTCTCACAATGTCTCCTCCACAGAGGTGCTCCACGTTGACCCCAGGACCCTGGAGGTTTCCAGCACCAGCATCAAACTGAACTGGTCCTGCCAGGTCCCTGAGGCGTGCTCACGCATGCGGGCCATGTGCCGGCTGGCAGGGCCTTCCTCCCCTCCCTGTGAGGCTGAGGAGGTGCCGGGAGAGGAGATGCTCCATGGGCAGGAGGGGACATTCTCCTGCCCTGCTCTGCAGCCCTTCACTGAATACAGCGTCACCATCTCCCTGCCGCCCAGCACCATCCTGTTCACATGGCCGGTCAGGACCACGGAAACGGGTTTGTATTCACAGGGATAGGAGATAAGGAACAGGCTTGGGATATGTCACAGGGCACCCGCAGTGTTGTCTCCTTGCACTGTTGTCCTGGGGATGGGGCTGCTTGGATGCTGTGGGGCTCTGGGGACGGGGCTGTGTAGGGCTGCCTGCACCCTGCTGTGTGCTCAGCCCCTGCTCATCACCCCCACTTGTGACCCCATCCTCCTGTGCTTCCAGTGCCGGACAAACCAGAGCAGCTGTGGCTGGATCCCAGCACAGGGTCCCTCAGCTGGGAGCCGCTGCCCTCCTGCAAAGGGGAGATCATTGGATACCAGGTACCAGGGGACCACAGGCTGCCTGTGTCCTCCTCCCCTTGGCACGTGCCCCCTGCATAGAGCTCACTGCAGGCGGCATGGGGATGGTGGGGATGGAAAGCTGTGATGGCCGATGGTTCCCAGCCAATCGGGGGGAATATGTGGCTGTGAAGAGCAAGAGCATTTTCTGTCTCACCCTCAACATTCCTTGTGGTGTGCAGTTGCCTGGGGAGGTGGTGGGTGCTCCGTGCCCTCTGGGCTTCCTCCCTGCGTGTGTTCAGCCTGGGGGTGTGCAGACTTTACAGCTTGGTGTGCAACACTTGGTGATGTGCCTCCTGCAGTGGCCTCCCAGGGTTTCCTGTGCCTCTTGTGCACTTGTTTCTGGTTCCCGGCACAGCGATGCCTGTGGTTTGTGCTGTTCTCTGTAAACCCCTTTCTTCTGGCAGAGCTGCATTGCTTCTTTGGGCTTTCTTCAGTGCATGGTTAGAAGCTCTGGGTTGCTCTGCTTATTGGGTTTGGGGCTTCTTCCAAGGCGCATCTCTGCTTTCTAGTACCCTTACCAGTGTGCCCCACTCCCTCTCTAAGGACAGACCTTACAGTGAAGTGACAGGGATCCTGAGGACAAGCTGTTTCTTTGTGCCTCTCTTGAGAACCTGGCAAACAGGGTCCCTGACGGCATTGATTGTGTGTCTGTTCCAGCTGGTTCCCTGCTCCCAGACACCTCTTTTCTGCCTTCAGTTAGCTCCTTTTTTGCATATTCCCAAGATGCAATTTCCATAAAGACCCTGACAGAAGCAAAGATGGCCTGGAATCTCATGAGAAATTCAGATGTTGCATTGGCATATGGAGAGCCTCCATCTGTATCTCTTGCAGGCAGTCTGTCCTCCTCTTTTGATGTAGACAAAGCCTTCACAGTCCAGCCTTGCACGCAGGGAAAGAGAAGTCAGTGCTCCCCTGTGGTGCTCCCCTGTTGCAGTGCCAGCCTGGTGACCTGGCCCCGGGCTCACTGCACCTCTTCAGACAAGCAGCCTCCCTCCTGCCCTCAGCTCCTCACCCAGGCTTGCTCCTTTGCTCACAACCGCTCCGACGGCTCCAGTGCCGGCTCCACATCCCTGCTCTCCTCCTGTCTGCTTTGAGCTCCACGCGTGGGGCCAAGGCTCCTGCTGGTTCCTCGCCAGGGGCCACTCGCAGGGCGCTTTGCTGCGCCTCGCTGCGCTGCGGGCAGGCTCCCGAGGGCAGGGGGGAGCCGCTGCCCCAGCCCTGCCTCTGTCCGCAGCTGAACATCACGGCCAGGAGCGCGCAGGACCGCGCTTTGCTGGAGCTGGAGCGGCTGCGGCTGAGCAGCTCCGCCACCGCGCACCCGCTGCCCGCGCACGGCCCCGGCACCAGCTACGTGGTGACCGTGCGGGGACTCACGGCGGCCGGGGCCGGGGCTGCGGCGCTCCGGGAGTTCCAGACCAACCGCTCGGGTAAGGCTGGCGCTGTCCCGCTCGGGTGCCCGCCTGCGGCAGCTGCCTGTGCCCATCCCCGTGGCCTCACGGCCAGCGCCACGACCCGGGGCAGCGGGAGCTGTGCTCTGCAGCCTGCGCTGCCCGGGGCCGCCCCTGCGGTGCTGCCGCTGATGCTCACCCCGGCTCTGCCCCTCCAGACGCCCCGCAGCCCCTGCCCAGGAGCTGCCGCAGCGCCCGTGACATCTCCTCATCGCGAGGGACGGCCGTGCTGCCCCTGCTCCCCATCGCCCGGCACCACGAGCCGCCGACGTGAGTGCGGCCCCGGCGGCTCTGCTCTCCGCAGCCCTCGACGGCTTCCCCACCGCAGCCGCCCCCGTTCCGCTCTCCCCATGCCCACCTCCCGGCTCCCTCTCCCCGCCTCCTTGCAGGGAGCACCAGCTGCTCGTGGCCGCCATGCACAACAGCACCACGGTGGAAGGCGTCTGCTCCGCTGAGCCGCAGCCCTTCAACGCCAGCCGGCAGCACGGGGCCTACGTGGCCGCCGTGCTCAACCTCAGCTCCCCCATGGACTTTGTGCTGGGCGACGGGACCCGCGGGCACGGCTACCACAACGCTGCCCTGCGCCCGGGCTGCAGCTACACGGCCCTGCTCCGCCTCGTGCGCCGCTCGCAGCAGGTACCCTCGAGGGGTCCTGCTCTGTGGGGACGCTGCCAGGGCATTCAGTGGCCTCGAGTGGGAGACTTTAGCCCCTGGGGTGGGCACTGGGGCAGGAGTGCACTGAGATCTCCCTCCCTTCCTCCTTCGGCAGGCAGAGAAGTTCACCTGCATCTGCTACAGCTTCTCTCTCGGTAAGTGGGTTCCTCATTCCCTGTGCCTTTCTCCTGCATGTTCCCTTTTCCCCGCCTGGTCACTTCCCACAGAGAGGTGCTGGCCACATGCAGCAACATTGGATTCTCTCTGTCCTACTTCCATCTTTGTGTAAATTCTCTCAATCTTGAGGCTACCTCAAAGCTACATGAGCTTTAGCCAGCCTTGGGCCACTTGGTCAGGTTGGCAGCAACGGCTGCTGGACTCTGTGCATCATCTGTGCCTTTCTCCTGCATGTTCCCTTTTCCCAGCCTGGTCACTTCCCATTGAGATCTGACTGAGCACAGGAACAGTGGGGTCTGTTCGGGGGGCAGAGGAAACCTTTTATTTCCAGTTCACGGCGTGCTCCTCCATCCCAGAACAAACCTAAGTCAAGACACACAGTTCTGCATACCCTTTTCCATTGTTTGGGCCATTGTCAGAAAGTGGCCCAGAACGTGGCACCCACTCCTGGCTGTGTATTAGTTGCAGAGCAGTCTCCACGTCCTTGGCTTTGGACTGTGATTGGGGTGTTTGTGCTGTTGGGTATCCTCCTGGTGTTTGCAGGGATCCAGTGGCTCGTGGTTTCCAGGTGAGAAGGAAGGGGACAGGTTCGGCAGGTCGGTGGGCAACACCAGTCTCTTACCGACTCTTCTTTGTCTTTCTAGGAAAAGGAAGTTTCTGCCTGGCAAAGCTAAGGAGGATAATTAAAAAGGTAGATAAACGCAGTTCCCTGTACCACCATCACAGACAGGGGTGTAAGACTGAGTGGCATCTGTGAGGAAAGCCTGACCTTCAGGAGAAACACCTACTCATCTTCATCACTGACATGTCCCCTCATTTTCTCCAGGCTTATGGTGCTGGGAATGGTCAGGGTGGCTCTGGCTGCTAAGCAGGGCTTGGCTTCAAGCAGTGCTCCCAGGCTGGACCAGGGGCATATGCCAGCCAAGACAGGCATCCCAAAGCGTGTCTGTTGGCTCAGCCCTTTGAGCCAGCCGTGACTGATGCACCCAGTGCTTTGTGCCTGCCTCCGACACTCATGCATGCAGGCTGTGAGCTTCCCACGTAGCCCAAGGGCACACAGCATCCTTTGCCCTGGGTGCCGCTGGTCTCCACAGGTAAAGGTGACCAAGCTGTAGATCAGCCACTGCAGCCCCTGCCTAGGACCACAGGGGACATTCAGAGCAGAGAGGGAGTGAAGAACATGGGGAGGATGACCCCAGCCCAGTGCTGATGGCTGCTGGGACTGCTGGTGCTCCTGTGACTGTGACCAGCACTGGGGGTCCCATTCAGTTCAGCAAAGCTAGAGCAAAATTGGAGGCCAAGTGGGTTGTGAGCTTTCTCTTTCCTCACACTCTTCACCTCCCAGCTCTCACTTACTGATGTTTAAGGTCTTTGAATGGGGATGTCTGTAGTTTCCTCTTTTAGGCTTTGCTTTCATTTCTGTTTCCAGGAAGAAGGAACAAGTTTCCCAGTCCCTGACTTGCATGGGCTCAGGCTGAAGGATGGTCCATGCTCTTGCCATGTCCTGGGTTCTCAGCTCCTCTTCCTGCTCTATCTGCTGATATTCAGCCATACCCAGGGCTCTGCTGGAGCTGCCTTCGTGACTCTGCCTGCTCTAAATAGCCAATAAAGAACTGTGGTTTGAAGGGGTCTGCCTGCCCCACTACAGCTCTGGCCTGTCCCCTCATTGCCCATGTGGGGCCACACTCCCCTGCAGAGAGCTAACTACACCTTGTTGAGGGGAAGCCATGAGCAGGGCTGCTGTGCCCCACACCCCTGAGTGGTTCCTGACAGTCCTTCCAACCTGCAGGGCTACACTGGGCACATCTCACATGAGTCTGGGTGAGGTGCATGGTGGCAGCCAGAGAAGGGTGATGTTCCTCAACACACATCTTGGGCAGGAGTGTGTTCTGCCCCCATGCTGTGGCCAGAGCTGAGTGACCTGTGTGCTCTCAACTCCCTTGCAAGCCCCTGTGCCAGGTCAAACCTGGGAGAAAAGTAAAGATCAGAGGTCACCACCACCATGGTTGGCACAGAGCCTTTATTGCTGAGACACAGAACAGAGCCATGGGGTCAGTCCCTGCTCTGAGAACCCTTGAGCAGCAAGGGTAGAACCAGTCTCTGTGGCGCAGCAGCCCCTGCTTGGAACCACATCCAAGATGTTTAAGTTGAGCTGCTACAACCTGGGAGCCAGACCATGTAGCCATGGTGAAGCCAGACAGGATGCTGAGGGAGCCTCTTGGGATCTAGCAGGGCTGTGGCACCTGGACCAGCCTCAGGAAGATGGAGCTCCAGGAAGGGATTGTGTGGGGTGGGAAGGACTGTGGATTGTCCCTCCATTGGCTCTTGTTGGCCTTGGGCTTCATGGTTCTGGCAGATTGGGCCATATCCTCCCAAGCCCCATGGATCTTACAGCAGTCCAACACTCCCCTGGTAGAACACTGGGTGTTGGTAGAGCTATGCCACTTTCTTGGGGCTGCCTGAAGGGACAAGGGAGCCTGATTCTCTTCATCCCTGGCACAAACAGGTCAAGTCCTGGTGCCCCTGCTCTGTTCTGCATACTCAGGCTGTGATTCCAGTAAGTTCCTGTGCAAAGGTTGGGCAAAGGGTCCTGCTTCAAAGCCTCACCACAACTGGGAGACAGTCCAGCTAGTGCTTTCCAGCCATAGAGGACCCTTGGGGTGGCTTCTCATGGGAGTAAAGCATCCTGGGGCTGTGCACACCCTTCTTGTCTCCTGTGGTTTCCGTTGTTACTGATGGAGGGCTGGAAGAGTGCTGTGGCCATGCCTCTACTTGAAATTCCCATAGGTTTCAAATGAATTCAAGTAACTGAGGGCTAGTTCGTAGCAGAGCCCATACTGCTCCTGTGGACAAAAGGATGCATGTGAGAACCTGGTACACCAACTGCAATGGAAAGCCAGTCTTTGTTGCTAACAGCTTCCTGAAGAAGCCAGGCATAGGTACAGCTCATTCTCCTCCTCACAGAGAAGCCCACCTTCCCTATCGAGGAACCATAAGAATAGCAGAGGGCTGGGCTTCTCCACTGCTGAAGCGAGCATCCATGGCATGAAGTGTTTACTGCTCACTCCTATCTGGGCTGCTCACCCTATAATGGCCCTTAGTACCCAGAATGGTGTGCAGGATAGGCAGTTGTGCAGAATGGGTGCGGGATAGGCATCTGAGCATCCACCAATGCAGCCCCCAGCTGAGCTGACCAAGTGGGCCAGAAGGGCAGCACCAAAGCAGGATGCTTTGGTGCCCATCTAGTCCTGCAGAACCTGCCCCCCAGTCAGTGTGTTTGTCGCAGCAGCAGAAAACAGGGTTTTCAGAGGTCTCATCTGCCCCTGCTAGCCCCAGGGTGATCTGAGCACATTGGTGCTAGGGCAGCTGCTGGGACAGTCCAAGCTATACCCTGTGCACTGGTCTTGCCCTGTTGTCTGGGTTTGAAGGCAGCACCTACCACGTCTTTAATCAGCTGTCTCCGCCGTCTCTTCAGCATCCTCACAGCCTGGGACACATCCACCAGCCCCTCACTTTGTATCTGCTCACATAGGAAACCAGCAGCACAGAAGATCCCGCTCCGGCTGGCACCATCCCTGCAGAGGAGAACAAGGGGAGAGCAGGGCTGACCCTCAGAGGTGTCCCACTAGACATGCAGGCTCTCAGGATGATCTTGCCCACAGATCCTGCATCCAGCCAGCCTCCACAGGGAAGCCGTCTTCCCTGAACACAGCTCATTCATGTCCTTATGTGCACCCAAGATTGAGCTGTGACCCAAGTTCACTGCTGCAGCCTGGTCTGAGCCAGCTCTGCGCCATGGCTGCTCCTCTCAGGGACATCACTCACCAGCAGGTGATGAGGATATGTCCATCCCGGCTCTGCCGGTGGTGTGTCTCTACATTCCCAAGCAGGCTGATGATGGTGGCCGGGTGTGGAGGAAGATGCTGCTTCATGGGCCAGTCTTTCAGTTGCCAGAACCGCACTTCCAGTGGAGGCTTCTTGGGCTAGTACGGAAGAAAGACACTGGGTTGGGCAGGGAAGAAACCCGTTTGCTTTACAGCAGGAAAGGAGGGACAGAGTGTGTTAGTCCTGGCTCAGCCATACACACTGGGTCAAGGGAGCAGCTCCACAGTGGGATAGCCCAGTCCCAGGCTTTGCCCTTCTCCATTGAGTGCTCTGGAACTGGCAGATGTACAGACCACAAGCATCAGGTTCAGCGCAGATTCACAGTATCACACAGTATCACAGTATGTTAGAGATTGGAAGGGACCTCAAAAGATCATCTAGTCCAATCCCCCTGCCGGAGCAGGAACACCTAGATAAGGTTACACAGGAACGTGTCCAGGCGGGTTTTGAATGTCTCCAAAGAAGGAGATTCCACAACCTCCCTGGGCAGCCTGTTCCAGTGTTCCGTCACCCTCACTGAGAAGAAGTTTCTTCTCAGGTTTAAGTGGAACCTCTTGTGCTCCAATCTGTACCCATTACCTCTTGTCCTTTCATTGTTTGCCACTGAGAAGAGCCTGGCTCCATCCTCGTGACACTCCCCCTTTATATATTTATATACACTAATAAGGTCACCCCTCAATCTCCTCTTCTCCAAACTATAGAGACCCAGCTCCCTCAGTCTTCCCTCATAAGGGAGATGCTCCACTCCCTTAATCATCTTAGTTGCCCTGCGCTGGACTCTCTCCAGCAGGTCCCTGTCCTTCTTAAACTGAGGGGCCCAGAACTGGACACAATATTCCAGATGAGGTCTCACCAGGGCAACATTCATGCCAGCCCAGTGCCCAGCTACCCGTAATAGCTCACCGCATCCATGAAACATCATGAGATGCCCAAACTCTACCCGTGGCTGCTGTCCTCCAAGTTAGAAAGGTACACAAGCATATAGAAAGGTACACAAGCATATAGAAAGGTACACAAGCATACCTCTGCCTGCAGCCTCACCCTCCTGGGACTAACCTTTCTCCCAGGGCAAAAGGTCCTGCTCTGGACAGTGTCATTCCAGGCTCCCATCACATCCCTCTAACCGTTGTGGCCCCAGCCATCCTTAGCTGTGACATTGTCCCCAGATTAAAGCCTGCTGATGCTAGAGTTTGGCAGGTCCTCCCAGCTCTTGCAAACGCCATTCTCAAAGGACTTTGTCCATCTCTGTGCAAAGTGCTTACCTGTTGCTTGTTGGTGACGGAAAGTGTCCAGGCTGTGAAGCCAGCTCCAGGCTCCTCCGAGATGAGGTGGACATGGAAACGGCCATAGGCAGCTTCGCCCTGCATGGGCCAGAACTCTGCATACGTCTGCAGACACACACACACGTGTGATCACACACAGACCCTACCTGTCAGCCTTCACACGGGTGTGCACACACCAGCCCCTTGTCCATAAGCCACAGTGTGCACATGTGTGCTATTGCTGCCATTTGCTGGGGATGAACCTATGGTGCTGCAGCCAGAAGAGTAACACTGGGCAAGGGTAAGGAAACCCTGAGGGATGCTCCCTTGCTGTGAGACAGGGGACACCCCACCGCTGAGGTGTCCTCAGGGGTCTCCTGGATGGAGCCCACAAGCTGGCAGTGGGCTCCTGCAGCAGGCAAAGGGGCAAAGGCAGAAAGCATATTGCCCAGCCTCAGAGGGAGGTAGGGAAGGGCAGGGATGCTCGTATGCTGCTGACCTCATCCAGCTCCTGCAGCTGGTTCAGGACAACCACCGCCGTGCAGGTGTAATCCCAGACCAGAGCCCAGAAATCCACTACTGTGGTGGGGAAGGGCATCTGGGTGATGATGAGTCTGTCCTCTTCAGTGTATGTCTGCAAAACACACCGGGGTGCGGGGAAGGGAAAGGTCACACAACCCACCCCTTGGGAGCCCCTTTGACAGCCGGCAGGACCAGGGCAGGACCAGCATCCCACCCCATCCCTGCCCAGAGCAGGCTTTGCACGCAGCTGACCATCACAACGCAGCTCATCCTATCCCAGCAGGCAAAAGCCATCAGCTGCCTGCTGAGCTGCCCGTGCAGGCAGGGCTTAGGCTGATCACGGGGGCCACCTCCTGGCAGCAGGGCCCCAGCCGCTAGGATGCAGCCACTGAAGAAGCCCCAGGTCTGGGACACACTCAGGCCCAGCCCTGCCTTGAGTAGTGGTACCCTGGAGGGATCTTTGCTGCTCCCAGCATCTCCCACCTCCCACCGGGGCTGGAGCCTTACGTTGACAAACACAGCGTTGATATAACCTGGTGAGCCGTCTGCGTTCAGCGAGGACATCAGGATGGGCCGGCAGGAATCCGCTGTGGAGACCAGGGGCAGAGAGAAGTGATGAGCCATCCTCTCCCTGCACTAAGGTGGTGGGGTCCTGTGGCATGGGCTGGAGGGGCTTGGATGAACAGGCACCACCAGCCCCATGGCCATGACAGCACAGGGCTGCCTGACACGGGTTGTCCAAAACCCCATAGGCAGAGGCATAGAGGCACAGCAGTTCCCCCCTCGTTGTTTCTCCTTGATGTCTCATCTGGGCTCCTCCACTGGGAAAGAACAGACCCAGGGACATGTTTATCCCGTGAACGCATGTTTCCTGCAAGCCCATAAGGAAGCAGGGATAGGGTTGTGCTCTCATGGAGAGTCCAGCCTTATAACCAACCAGAAAATGCCAATTGGACCTTGGGCAGAACCTGCCAGTGGCATGGTGCTGGGGAGGGAAGCATCAGGGCAGCATCAACCCCTACCCTACTCTCAGGCTGCCCAGCCCTGCCAGTGGTACCTGGCAGGATCCCTGGCTTGCGGTTCTTGGGCTGGTTGCTGGGTTTCTCCGCTTCTCTGCATGGCAGGAGCTGGAACAACTCGGAAAACTTCTGCAGGGCCTGTAGGGATGATTCAGCCAAGCAAGTCCTGCCTGTCAGCTCTTCCTCTTCTTCAGCCATCCCAAAGGAATGCTCCCCCCCTCTCCATGCCACAGCTGGGATTGGCAGGAGGCACCACAGACCAGCCCCAGTGCATCAGATCCTGATGGTACCTTGAACTCCTTCTCAAGGGCACTGTTGTGCTTTGAGGCTTCAGCTTCTTGAAGGCAGTGGACGTGGCTGGCGATGCTCTCCACTGGGACCCCAGTGCTGCCGCAGAGCAAGCCTTCGAGCACCACCTCGTACAGGAAGGTGTACTGCTCCTGCATGAGGATACAGGTCAGCTGCAGTCTGGAGCAGCTCCATGAGGAGCCCTGGGACTCCAGACAGCTGGCATCAATCAGAAAGAAGCCAGGTCCACCCTTTACTTTCCTGCTGTGGGTCCCTTAGGTCAGACACCTCCCAGTGCAGACAGCCCCGCTCTAAGAAACTGCAACAACCCAGGCAAGACCATCTTCCTGTTGTTTAATGCTCCCCCTCAGACCAGACCCCTGCTCTGGGGAAGAAAACCCAGAAAACCAGTGAATTACAAGCAGCTGCATGATCCTGCCCAACCTAGTGCTCTCCAAAGAGTCCCAGCACTGAGCATCAGGATATAGTCCCTAGGCTTGGACACTGCTGCCCAGAAGGTGCCACTAGGGCAGAAATCCTGAAAACCTGAAGGCCTCTTTATGCTTCTTGTCTAATTCTATATATATTATAATTAATATATTATATCAATGGATGACTGGTGCATAGGAATGCTGCTGGCACTCCAGAGGGTCTCAGGGGAATACGGATCCTGACTAGGTTTGGACACAGCACTGAAAACAAGGTCCTGCTGTCTCCATCACCTGGCAGCTCCAGTCTCAGTGTGTAGGCCATAAACAGTATGGCCAGTGCTGTTTGCATGCCACAACCCCTGGGAAGGGTAGGAAGCGGATCTGCAGCCTGACAGCATGCAGGGAACAGACAGCTCTCCTCACCTTGGTCTGCACCATGCTGATGCGCTGCTCCCGCAGCCTCTGCACGCAATGAAACACATCTACCTTCCCCTCTGCCTTCCCCATCTTCAGGAGGAAGTCCAGGGCGATGAAGGTACCAGTGCGCCCAATCCCTGCACTGAGGACAGAGACAACTTGGGGTCAGGGCTGCCCTGGCCAGCTTTCCCAGCACCCAGCATCTCCCAGCTCAGTACCTGCAGTGCACCACCATGGGGCCAGCGGGCGCTTCCAATGCCCTCTTATTCACTGCATCCACTAAGCACAGGAGCTGGGCAGAGTTTCTGGGGACCCCATGATCTGGCCATAGCAGGTAGTGAAACTGCTCCACCACCCTTGGGAAAGCACAGCCTGCCTGCAAAGAGGGAGACGTGGCTGGGAACAGGAAACGTGGGAACTTGCGTGGAGTAACCGCATGCCAACAAGTGTGGAGCAGAGGAAAACAACGCTTCATGGGGATACCAGCACTCAGTGCTCCCCACAGTACCCTCACTGCAATGAATGCTCCACTATAGGTTATTAGACAGCAAAGAGCAAATTCACTCGGCACATAGCCACAAAATTCACTTAGTTTTCTGCTCCCCTATGCTGTGAAAAGTGAACTCAGAGCACTAAAGGCAGCTTGTGCCCCAGAGGGAAAAAATATAAAATCCAGAGTTTACAGTGATCCCATAGACATTGAACAGTCCTGGCTTGCTTAAATACAGTATTTCCTAAGGCTGGTACCGCAGTGATGTGAATGTAGTCACTTTTGTTACCAGCCCATTATGTATTTTTCCCTAAACATCACATTCACTTGGCCTGAACTGATGAATTGCTATGTTCCACCATCAGGTGCTCTTGGAATTTTACCTTCCAGCTACACTTTGCTGCGGGCAAGACAAGGAATGACAAGAATATGCATGACTGTAATTTCTTCATATTGTACCTGTTTTCCCCTCCTTCAGTTTCTGTTTTTTATCTCAGGCATAGCTTCAACAAAAGTGCCTGTCTTGACAAATATCATCATATACATTATCTTAAACCATGGACTGTCTGCTCAGGTTTAGAAACTGTGAATGACCAAGGGTTCACTGTGGACCCTCTGCAGATTGGCCCACGAGACAGGAGGGCACTTGGCCAATCATCCTAGATGTATAGAGATGCCATTTTCTACCCTTTAACTGCTTTCATGCCCTTTGTGATCACCTCCTCCAAGCCCTCAAGGATGCACAGTCTGTCCATGTGCATCATCTGTCCAGGCTCAGCTGGGGTGAACACTGAAGCTGACCAATTGCCTTTGCCTGGCACAGAAACCTGTGGGGTTGATGCTCCAGCATGGTATCCAGTGATAGCAATGCTGCCCTGTTGGGGCAGGAAACGAGGCAAGGCTTTCCATAGCATCTCTGGGCCAACAGCTCCTGCCTGCTGCTGAAACCCAAAAGCACCCTGCATCCCCATCTCAGCTATACACCAGGCTTACCTTCTGCAGGGAGAAGATGCGTGTGACAAGGCCCGTGGTGGTCCTGGTGTTGTTGAGTGTCACAGTGAAATCTCCATAGACCTGCTCCTGCTCAGGCCAATACTGCTCGCACTTGGTCTGTCAACAGCAGCGAGAGCACTAAGCACTAGCAGACTCATGGGGGAAGCGTTGCAAGCCAGTGGTGGTGCGGAGCTGCTCTGCCTTCCCTGATATATGCACTGGGAGCAAAGCAAAGCAAAGCAGGTAGGGAAGCCTGGGCTTTGTGGAAGCTCAAGCTGAGACCAGGCTAAGATGGTTTCTCTACCTTGTTCTGCTCCACTAAGCCTGTCAGCATCACAATGACTGAAGTCTTCTCCTGCCACACCATCTGCCAGAAATCCAGCACTGTCCCAGGCAAGGGGCCTTTGAAAGGGGAGAACCCTGAGTCAGTGTCCAAGCCATGGGGTTTAGCTATTCCCAGGAACAACACAGATATTCCCAGGCTGTGAGCATCCCCAGGCTTCCTTCTGCACAGCCTGGGCACATCAGCCACTGGCAGGGTGTGCTGGACACCTTGGCTTCATCACACATGTTAGAAACGGAAACAAGGAAGAGGGAGCCCAGGGCACATCAGGGGTTCACTGCTCCTTCCAGGGCTTCCCCATCCAGACACTCGAGATGGCTGTTAGCTGCTCTCACATTTAGGATCCTATTTCACAAACAGTATTCGTGCAGCTTTCGCAAGGAGCACGAGACCTCCTCACTGCATGCTGCACAGAGCAAACTAACCCATCCCAGCTTTGCATCGTTGGAAGAAGCCTGCCTCAGAGTGTGCTGAGTGCAGGCATGTCGGGCATTTTTGGGTTTGTCCCTGTCACTCCAGCCACCAAACGGGTGGTGGAAGTTAGGTTAGGGTTAGGGTTTAAGGTTAGATTTAAGGTCAGGTTTAAGGTTTAGGGTTAGGGTTTAGGGTTAGAGTTAGGTTTTCAGGCTAGGTTTAGTTTTTAGGGTTAGGTTTTAGCGTTTGTGTTAAGGTTAGGGTTATGTATATTGTGTGTAGAAAGACCATGTCCAGCCTGAGGAGTACAGGGTCCAGCGTTAGCTGGATGCTGCCGAAGTGCCACAGAGTGTAACCTTTCCAAGACAGACATGTGCAGGTCATACAGGACCCTGAGCTGAGACACTGACTGCTACTCATCTGCTGTCCCACATCCCCACTCCCCCAATAGCTCAGGTCAGTGACTGGCACCTCCTGAGATGAGGGCTGGGAGCACCCACCTTGAGCTGCAATGAAGAAACGTGGACTCCGGTAGCTCTGTTGGGGAGAGGTTAAAACATCTCCAATCACATGGGTTTAATGTTCAACAGGGAATGAAACGAAAGACAGAGGCATCAGCGCCCAGGGCCTTGGCACATTGTGTTACAGCACCACTCCTGCCAGAATGGAGAGTGGGCACCCAGGGGCTGCATCTCAGCTCCTGTCTCCTCACACAGGCCCCTTCTTGTTAGAGGTGAGGCACCTCTACCCTCCACAGGGCAGCAATTCCCCAGTACCTACATCCACGTAGCTGGCATTGATGTAGCCATTCCCTGTGTCAGAGGGCTGCAGCACCACACGGCAGTGATCATCTGAAAGAGAAGGGAGGCAGCATTTGGGGGATGGTCTCTTTGGGACAGCAACAAAGCGACTGTTTAAGGAGGGGGATGTAATTTAGGAAATCTGGGATTGTCAGCTCCCTCCTCAGCAGCATTCCAGGCATCAGGGCATGTTCAGAGGTAAAGAATAGATAATGAGATGAAAGCTGATGTGGCACAGCAGGAAACGCAATGTGGTTTTGGGGAAGACAATGCAATGACCAAATGCCCATGCCATGTGGGGGCCCAGAGGACCTTTAAGGTTTGGTAGAAATTGGGTCACTCTGCTTTCCCACAAATAGCCACCTCTGGGTGGGACACAGCAGTGTTCAGCAATGACTAACAGAAGGAACAGGAATAGGAATTACTAAGCTTGCAGGGAGATTTGAGAAGCAGAACGAGGATTCTCCAACTGGATATAAAACAGTGAGGTCAGCATGATGCTTCTGGAAAACCCCTTTGGGTTTCAGTAGCCACAGAGGATGAGGTGAGGAGCTCAGCATTGCTGAAGAGTTGGAGGGGTACTTACAACAGCCCAGCACCCTGTTCTGCCCAACCACCCCAAGTGCCTGTGCCAACCCCTGCTTACAAGGGATGATGCTCTTGTAGCGGTTCTTGCTCTGATTACACAGCTCCTTCCCGGCATCGCAGGGATGCAACAAACTGGAGGAGAGTTGCTGCAGAGGAAGAAGACAAGCCCGCTCTACATTGGCATGAGCTCTGGACAACCACAACGCTCCCAAGGAAGGTGTGAGGGATGCGAGGGCAGTGCAGCCGGGTGGTAAAGCAGAACTAGACCAGACCTGGTACTCCCGCAGACGCCCAGCACCATGAGTGTCAACTGATTCATCCTCTGCCTGCTCCGCCTCTATTTCTGCCCTCTTAAACCTCTTCAGAGCCTCCAGCAGTGACTCCACCGGGATCTGCGTGTTCATCTTGCTCACACCTACAGAGACCATGAGGCCAGCTTAGCAGAAGAGTGGTCAGGACCCCTCCAAACCCTAGATTATCCCTCCCCACACAGGTCCCTTTCTTCTGGGAGGTGTCCCTTTCCCTGTGCCAGCCGGCTCTGATCCCCTTGATCATGTAAGGACATTACAGATCCTGTAAGCACCCTGCCTGTGCTTTTAAAAGACAGCTTGTCCAGACAAGGCACACTGTGCCCATACTGCACCTCCTCGGTATCTTCTCAGGGGGATGGTGCCGCTGTTCTCTGAGGTTTTTGAACTGCGGAACTTCCTCCTGCAAAACAGCAAATCAGGTCCATAGACCGGCAGAAAAGGGAAAGAGAGGAGAAGCTGTTGTATGTGTAACAGCCCAATGTCCCACCTTGCTTTGTCTCAGGGTCTGCTTGGGCACTCCCTGGCAGTGCAAGGTGATGATGCCTCCCAGAGAGCAGCAGAGGGGAGGCACATACTGACCTGAAGATCCCAAAGAGCAGCAAAATCCCCAGTGCCAGGAGTGCGACGACCAGTGCTACTGCCGTAGCTACAGACATGCTGCTCAGCAGAGGCACCGGCTCCTGCCCTGCAACCAGCACATGCCAGTGTCAGGCTCCCACACAGCCTGAACAAGGTGTTGTGGGATTGCATAAGGGCATGGAGTAAAAAAACATCTCTCATCTCTCAACATAGGCTTTGCGTTGGAGAATAGCAAAGCTGGTGAGGAAAGAGTAGGTGCTAGCTTGGTGTGATACCCTCCAGCGTGGACCCTACATCCCTCCTTGACTGCCCCAGGCACAACCAGAGCATGGCGAGAGGTTTGCATTTATGGGGTGGCACATGAACCAGGGGATGATGCGGTAAGTGACGATGGCACAGATGATGCACAGAGTCCAGCAGCCATTGGTGCCAACCTGACCAAGTGGCCCAAGGCTGGCTAAAGCTCATGTACAACAGGTAGCCTCAAGATTGAGACAATTTACACAAAGCTGGAAGTAGGACAGAGAGAATCCAATGTTGCTGCACGTGGCCGGCACCTCTCCGTGGGAAGTGACCAGGCGGGGAAAAGGGAACATGCAGGAGAAAGGCACAGGGAATGAGGAACCCACTTACCGAGAGAGAAGCTGTAGCAGATGCAGGTGAACTTCTCTGCCTGCCGAAGGAGGAAGGGAGGGAGATCTCAGTGCACTCCTGCCCCAGTGCCCACCCCAGGGGCTAAAGTCTCCCACTCGAGGCCACTGAATGCCCTGGCAGCGTCCCCACAGAGCAGGACCCCTCGAGGGTACCTGCTGCGAGCGGCGCACGAGGCGGAGCAGGGCCGTGTAGCTGCAGCCCGGGCGCAGGGCAGCGTTGTGGTAGCCGTGCCCGCGGGTCCCGTCGCCCAGCACAAAGTCCATGGGGGAGCTGAGGTTGAGCACGGCGGCCACGTAGGCCCCGGGCTGCCGGCTGGCGTTGAAGGGCTGCGGCTCCGCGGAGCAGACGCCTTCCACCGTGGTGCTGTTGTGCATGGCGGCCACGAGCAGCTGGTGCTCCCTGCAAGGAGGCGGGGAGAGGGAGCCGGGAGGTGGGCATGGGGAGAGCGGAACGGGGGCGGCTGCGGTGGGGAAGCCGTCGGGGGGCTGCGGAGAGCAGAGCTGCCGGGGCCGCACTCACGTCGGCGGCTCGTGGTGCCGGGCGATGGGGAGCAGGGGCAGCACGGCCGTCCCTCGCGATGAGGAGATGTCACGGGCGCTGCGGCAGCTCCTGGGCAGGGGCTGCGGGGCGTCTGGAGGGGCAGAGCCGGGGTGAGCATCAGCGGCAGCACCGCAGGGGCGGCCCCGGGCAGCGCAGGGTGCAGAGCACAGCTCCCGGTGCCCCGGGTCGTGGCGCTGGCCGGGAGGCCGCGGGGATGGGCACAGGCAGCTGCCGCAGGCGGGCACCCGAGCGGGACAGCGCCAGCCTTACCCGAGCGGTTGGTCTGGAACTCCCGGAGCGCCGCAGCCCCGGCCCCGGCGGCCGTGAGTCCCCGCACGGTCACCACGTAGCTGGTGCCGGGGCCGTGCGCGGGCAGCGGGTGCGCGGTGGCGGAGCTGCTCAGCCGCAGCCGCTCCAGCTCCAGCAAAGCGCGGTCCTGCGCGCTCCTGGCCGTGATGTTCAGCTGCGGACAGAGGCAGGGCTGGGGCAGCGGCTCCCCCCTGCCCTCGGGAGCCTGCCCGCAGCGCAGCGAGGCGCAGCAAAGCGCCCTGCAAGTGGCCCCTGGCGAGGAACCAGCAGGAGCCTTGGCCCCACGCGTGGAGCTCAAAGCAGACAGGAGGAGGAGAGCAGGGATGTGGAGCCGGCACCGGAGCTGTCGGAGCGGTTGTGAGCAAAGGAGCAAGCCTGGGTGAGGAGCTGAGGGCAGGAGGGAGGCTGCTTGTCTGAAGAGGTGCAGTGAGCCCGGGGCCAGGTCACCAGGCTGGCACTGCAAGAGCACAGGCACTGTGGTGACAGCACCACAGGGTGGCACAGACTTCTCTTTTCTCTTTCAGGTCATCACAGCTTTCCATCCCCACCGTCCCCACACCACCTGCACTGAGCTCCATGCAGGACATATGTGCCAAGGAGAGGAGGACACAGGCAGCCTGTGGTCCCCTGGTACCTGGTATCCAATGATCTCCCCTTTGCAGGAGGGCAGCGGCTCCCAGCTGAGGGACCCCGTGCTGGGATCCAGCCACAGCTGCTCTGGTTTGTCCGGCACTGGAAGCACAGGAGGATGGGGTCACGCATGGGGCTGATGAGCAGGGGCTGAGCACACAGCAGAGTTCAAGCAGTGCCTGGGCCAGGGCATAGGCTGCACAGGGACCCTCCTGAGCGGGGTTTGTCCCACACAGGCTGCTTGTGCTGCAGCAGCGGGAGCAGAAACAGTGCAGTGAGGAGAGCACAGTGAAGAGGGCATGTGTTCTGTCTGCTCCAGGGCCCTGCACAGCCCCTTCCCCAGAGCCCCACAGCATCCGAGCAGCCACGTCCGCAGGACAGCACTGCAGGCAGTGGGTCTGCGGGTGAAGGGGACACATTTCATGTAGACATACCCATTTCCTTTGTCCTGAAGAGCCCTTTGTACAGGATGGTGCTGGGCGGCAGGGAGATGGTGACGCTGTATTCAGTGAAGGGCTGCAGAGCAGGGCAGGAGAATGTCCCCTCCTGCCCATGGAGCATCTCCTCTCCCAGCACCTCCTCAGCCTCACAGGGAGGGGAGGAAGGCCCTGCCAGCCGGCACATGGCCCGCATGCGTGAGCACGCCTCAGGGACCTGGCAGGACCAGTTCAGTTTGATGCTGGTGCTGGAAACCTCCAGGGTCCTGGGGTCAACGTGGAGCACCTCTGTGGAGGAGACATTGCGAGAGGGTCACTGCCTTCCCTCCTGCTCCCAGCCCTGCAGCCAAACTTCACCTTCCCCATCATTCCCTCTGCACAGACCCAGCAGAGAGGCTCATCCTCCCTGACAGCAAAGGGAGAGATGCAGCTCCAGGACACCACACAGAGTAACTAACCCTTTACACCACATCTGAGGAAGGGAATGAGGGGAAAAAACGCCCCACGCTGGCTTCCCTGAGCATCCCAGGAAAGCCCAGGAGGAGCAGGAGATCCAGGGACTGGGGCATTCATGAGGGGCCCATGCTATGAACCAAGCGTCCACCCTGCCTGATGGAGCAGCGTTTGAACCCGGCACCTTATGGCATTGTGCAAGAAGCCCAGGTGATGTGATCCCCCAGGAACCTGCCACATGAAGCCAGCAAAGCACCTGAGGACACCAGTCCAGACACCCTGAAAGCTTGGGCCATGCAAGGAACTGTTCCTCTTGTGGGTGGGGGACACAGGAGAGCCTCCCCTTCCCCTGCTACAGACCTCCCTATGTGAGCCATGTGCAGAGCTGCCCACAAGGAGCCAGGTCTCAGGACACTCAGTGAGCTCGGGAGCAGCAGAGGACCATTGTTGTCAGATCTCTCCCTGCCTTCCCAAATCATCCCACTGCTGCCCCGTTCTCCCTTGGAGGGACCTCAGAGCCCCAGGTGGTGAAAAGATGGTGCCAAGCCTGTGCCCGGCATGACCCAGAGCCTGGAGGGGACAGCCCATGGGGAGCAGGCTGTGGGACAGAGAGCTGCATGGTCTGGGGGACACAGGCAGCAGAGCCCTGCAGTGCCCCTGCCCCAACCCTGATCACAGAATCCCAAGGGTTGGAAGGGACCTCAAGAGATCATCCGGTCCAACCCCCCTGCAAGAGCAGGGTAACCTAGAGTACATCACATGGGAACTTGTCCAGGCGGGCCTTGAATATCTCCAATGTGGGAGACTCCACAACCCCCCTGGGCAACCTGTTCCAGTGCTCTGTCACTCTCACAGTAAAGAAGTTCTTCCTGATGTTCACATGGAACCTCCTATGCTCCAGTTTACACCCATTGCCCCTTCTCCTATCACTGGACATCACTGAAAAAAACCTAGCTCCATCATCCTGACACCCACCTGTTACATATTTGTAAACACTGATGAGGTCACCCCTCAGTCTCCTCTTCTCCAAGCTAAAGAGACCCAGCTCCCTCAGCCTCTCCTCATAAGGGAGGTGTTCCACTCCCTTCATCATCTTTGTGGCTCTGCACTGGACTCTTTCAAGCAATTCCCTGTCCTTCTTGAACTGAGGGGCCCAGAACTGGACACAATATTCCAGATGCGGCCTCACCAAGGCAGAGTAGAGGGGAAGGAGAACCTCTCTTGACCTACTAACCACACCCTTTCTAATGCACCCTAGGATGCCATTGGCCTTCTTGGCCACAAGGGCACATTGCTGGCTCATGGTCACCCTCCTATCCACCTGCACCCCCAGGTCCCTTTCCCCTTCACTACTTTCCAGCAGGTCAACCCCCAACCTGTACTGGTACATGGGGTTGTTCTTCCCCAAATGCAAGACTCTACACTTGCCCTTGTTGAATTTCATCAAGTTTCTCCCCGCCCAACTCTCCAGCCTGTCCAGGTCTCGCTGAATGGCAGCACAGCCTTCTGGTGTGTCAACCCAGTCCTCCCAGTTTAGCGTCATCAGCAAAGTTGCTGAGGGTACACTCAGTTCCCTCATCCAGGTTGTGCAGCCCTTGCACTCCACCACACAGAGCTCTCCCATGCTCCCCTCCTTTGTGCACATGGTCCTGCCATGAGCCCTCAGGGACACCCTCATCTTCTGCACCTCCAGCAAGAACCTCCCAGCACTGGTGAATGCAGGCAGGACTCAGGGCAAGCTCAGGGGCTGCCTCAACACTGTTTCAGCAGCACCTTCCATCTCCCCAGGCCTGTGCACACAGAGCCTGCCTTCTCCTGCTCAGGATGGGCAGAGCAAGGCAGCCAGAAGAGCTCCTGATCCCCCCTTACCGATGCACTCCACTGTGTTCTGAGTGCGGTTCCACCGGCCTCTGCTGTCCTTTCCAAGCCAAACCTCTCTGTACACAGGTTTCCCATGACTTAGGGTTAGGAATTTTCTCATGCATTTGACACGGGTGAAGGATGGTTGCAAACCCTCAGGACAGCTCAGCATCACTTCTTCATACTTCTTGTAATTATCTTGGTCTGGTGACAGCTGGAGTCTTGAGTCCCACCGGGGCCTTTGGCACGTTTCTGGTGGAGGTGACAGTGGGTGTTAGTTGGGGTGGGAGGTGCTGAGGTGGGACATGGGAGAGAAATCCCAGGCAATCCATTAGGCCCTGGGCAGAGAGGGAAGGTGACATGTCCTGCTGCCAGCATGAGACCCTTTGCTCAGGCTGGTTGGGATGGGCTCTTCTTGTGTACCTGTAGCACGAAGGATCACTCATCCATGAGCCTCCCCATCCACCCTTGTGCCCAAGGACACTATATTCCCTCTTCCATAGCACACAGCACGGAGCTCCCCAGGACATTCAGCCCATACCAGCAGACCCCCTCCAGGCCCCCATTCAGACATGTCCTCCCCCCAGCTCAGGCTGCCCTTGATGGGCCATGGCAGCACCGGCCCTGCAGGGATGCAGGTCTCTGCAGCCAGGGCTCATCCCTCCCACAGGGTCCAGAGGTGCCCCTCTGACACTTCTGGGCTGGATCAGTCACTCCCTCAACTAATTCTCCTGCACATGGCACAGTGCAGTGGGCATGGGGATGAGCAATGCTTTCTCCATTCACATCACCTGCTTCACCACAACTCCTGCTGCCTTTTCCTGCCAGAAGCCCTGCTCCATCCTCCACATCCCCTTCTCACCACATTCACCATCCTCTGGGCTGAGCAGGCACAGCCTGTCCCTGCAGTTTGCCGACTGCTGTGGGACGGGGCTCTGTGGCTATGGTTCGTACCGACTAGCACCTAGGAATGAGTGTGTCCCTGTTCCAGCCTCTGTGAGGGCTCTGAGCAGCCTCAAACAGATTAAATTCAATCTTCCTTCTCCCAGAGGGTCGGAGAAGGGATCTCACAAGGTTCAGACCATCTTCTGAACAGCCACAAAGCAGTACAGACATGCTGGTGTCAGGCTTCTCATGGTCAGGTTTGCTCTCAAACAGCCCTTGTTGCAGAAGGCAAGAGATGCCCTACTGAGCACCACAACTACGGCCACACGTCTTTGACCTGCCCCACCACAGGCACCTGGCCAGTGCCCGCACCCAGGCACATCCAGCTGGAAAAGCAGCAGCAAGGTGCCTTCTGATAGACGAAACTCATCACTCCTGCTCCCTGATGGAGTTCGGTGTCACCATGTTCCTAGGAGCTGGACATGAGCTTTTGGGAGAGTTCCCACAGTCAGACAAGTGTCTGTGATTGTTCGAACATCAGGACATGTGGTGCAGGGTACAGAGGGAAGTGCAACACAGTGTGTCCCCTTCTGGGACACCTTCATCACAGGTCACATGAAGCAACAAAGAGATCCTTCTGCCCTCACTCACCCTAAGGTGTGTGCTCACTGGCAGCCTTTGGTGCCATGCCAGAGCACAACATGTACATTCATCCTTTAATTGCAGGAGCTGCTCCAGGGTCATCAAACCCCCCAGCACTGGCCCCAAGGGATAACCGTGACCTTCCCATGATGATTCTCACCCCTACACATTCCTAGCATCCTGTCCCTGCAAAGGAGCATCCTGCTCCTGATGCCTCCCTTACCGATGCACACAACTTTGTACCGAATGCGGTTCCACCGGCCTCCGCTGTCCTTTCCAAACCAAACTTCTGATTTCCCATGACTGACAGATTGGACTTCCCTTGAGCACTTGACGTGGGTGACTGATGGCTGGAAACCCTCAGGACAGCTCAGCATCACTTCTTCATTCTTCTTGTAATTGTTCTGGTCTGGTGCTAGCTGGAGACTTGTGTCCCACTGGGGCCTTTGGCACGTTTCTGTCATAGGGGAAAGTGTGGGTTAGATGGGGTGGGGGGTGACAAGCTGGGACAGGGGGGGTGATGGGATATCAGCAATCATTCAGCTAGAGGCAGAGCAGGGCAACCAAGAGAGCTTCTGATGCTACCCTTACCAATGCACTCCACTTTGTCCTGAGCCTGGTTCCACTGGCCTCTGCTGTCCTTTCCAAGCCAAACCTCTCTGTATTCAGGTTTCCCATTGCTATTGGACATGGTTTTTCCTATACATTTGACATGGGTGAAGGATGGCTGGAAACCCTTAAGACAGCTCAGCATCACTTCTTCATACTTCTGGTAACTATCTTGGTTTGGTTTCAGCCGGAGTCTCGTGTCCCACCGGGGCCTTTGGCACGTTTCTAGTGGAGCTGAAAAGAGGGTGTTAGCTGGGGTGGGAGATGCTGAGGAGGAACATGGGAGGGAGATCCCCAGTGATCCATCAGGCCCTGGAGGGAGAGGGAAGGTGAAATACCCATCTGCTAGGACATCACTCATAGGTAAGGCTCGTTGAGATGGGGTTCTCCTTGTGTACCTGAAGCATGAAGGATATCCTTCATCCATGAACCTCCCCTATCCATCCACTTCTGTCTGTGGACACTCTTAGCCATCTCCCACAGCCTCAAGCAGGGAGGTTCCCATGTTGTCTCTCTCCTCCCATCTTACCCGAGCCCTGGGCTGCCTGCTCATTCACTCACACACTCAGCACAACTCTGCTGCTGCCCAGGCCAGTCCTGCATCCCCATCACCTGAGGAGCAGCATTGCTCTTCCCTCAGCTCCAACCACATAACAGGGGCTGACCCAGGGCTCAATTCAGTCCCTTCAACCCAGCTCCTGCAGTTGCAGGGTTCCTCATCTGCAAGGGCAGGCAGGCAGACAGGCAGACCTGTGCAACCCAGGGAGGCACAGCAAGGATCATGGCACTCCTGTGGGCACAACAGTGCTGGCCCCCAAACCTGCCCCATGCCCTGGCACCCATCTGCAGGGTCCCACACTTGCCCTGCTCAGAAACAACTGCAGGAGCTGCTGGCTTGCCCGTATGGCTTCCCCATCTGGCACTACCTTGTCTCTTGTCTCCTGGCTGGACTGTCTCCTTCAACACTTTGCATGGGCAACACAGCACCAAGGAGGGACAGTGGCATGCATGCTGCTCAGCTTGGCAACATCATGATTGGCTATCAAGGATGAGGGTACAGAGGGGACATGGGAGAGATGGTGCTGCCTCGCCTATACACTCTATGGAGCTTGGAAGGTGTATCCAGGCACCTGTGCTATTCCTGCCCCACCAGGCGTTTCCATAGACTGGTTTTACAGAGCTTGCTTGCAGAAATTCCCTTGCAGATATTTGACCTTGGGAAAGGCCAACTTGAGATCTCCAGGGCAGGAGTGTGTGCCTGGGCAAGGTGGTCGTATAGGACACTGGGAGAGGGGTGAAGTGAGGGGCAGGATCTGGCCTCCTCCATCTTCCCAATGTCCTGCAACTCAGGAATTGACTGGGAAGAGATGCAGGGACAGTCAGAAAACCTGTCCCACACTAAAGGCTTCTAAAGCAGTCTGCTCCCAGCTGGGGCCTGTCTCTGAGCTGTGGCCAAGGTGTCTCATGGATATGTCAGGATATTCGAGGTCCCTCCTCAAAAAGAGATGCATGTAGCAGGGAGGCATACTGTTCCCCACTTACCTGTGGTACAGGTCAGGTTCTCTGTCACCCCATGCCATGTTCCCTGACTGTCCATCTCCCAGTCGTACTTAGAGTCTGGAGATGTCCCTTTTGCACATCTGATCACGGCAAGGGCAACAGGATCCTCCATAGAGCAGCTCAGTGTCACCTCTTCATGGATCCTGTAAAAACTCTTGTCTGGGGTAAAGTGGAGCCTCGAGTCCCACTGGGGCTGCTGGCATTTCTCTGTACAGAGGAGCAGGACACAGTGTAAGCAGGATGGAAAGGGGCCTGCTAAGGGGTCTACTGCCCTCATTTTGACACTGTACAGCTCCCTTGGTTACCACACTCAACTCCAAATCCCTTTTTTGCACCTAGTTAAGGTAACAGGAGAGAGATCTATCCCAGGAGCAGTCCCATCTATCCCCACAGACTTGTAGGCTTCCCCACTCAGGCTCCATTTGGATAAGGTTGTCCATGGACTGGGCTCCTCCCTTCCACTCTCACCACCTCAGCCCTATGTCCAGGAACTGTTTGAAGGCATGGGACACACAGTCAGTCCCAGTGCTGGGACCCTTGTTCCTGCCTCTGAACCCCTCCCCAGGACCACAGACACCGGTACCTGCCCATAGCAGCGTACTGAGACAGAAAGTGCCCTGACACTGCCAGGACACGGGGGAAAGCTGAGACATCCAGGTCTCCCATTCCTGGACTGTCACCCCAGTGGGGTTGAAGCGCGACCCAGTCATGGAGGGTCTACCACCAGCTCAGCACCATAGGTAAGTGGGGTCAGAGTGATGCTCTGCTTACCCTTGCAGGTGGCAGTCGTGTTCCACAAAGTGTGGGTCCCATTGGTAATGCATCTGATCCGAGAGACTGATGGCATATACTCCCCAGCACAGCTCAGCTGCACCAAGTCGTTCAGGGCATAGCTGCTGTGGTATGGGGTCAGCCGCAGCTTGGAGTCCCAGTCGGAGGGAGCCTTACATCTTCCTGTGTGCAAAAGCCATGAGGGAGAGCCATGAGCATCACTGGGCTCCAGAAGCATCCGCGGGGATGATAAGGTCCCCATCACTGCAGAGGGGTGGCACAGGTAATCACCTCCCAGATTACAGCCCTGAGTGTATTGATCCCCTTGCACCCTCAGTTGCAGTGCAGAAGTGTACCCAGAGCCAGTCCCAGCCAATGGGTTTCAGCAGCCTGGAGGATGCCGCTCTCTGCCCCAAAGACAGGGGCTGTGGCACCAGTGCCATCGAGTCCTTGTTGGCATCACTCACTCGCGTCCCCATCATCCTGCTGTGCACTACTTGCTTATAACCACATAAGCACTTATTTGCAGTAAAAAGCCCAATCAAGCTGCCAGTTCGCTTTTGCTCTGCAGGTTACACTTTCTATTTAGTCCTTTTCATGCCCTGCACAAAATACCCGCTGGTTCCTAGGACCGGGTACCTCCCATCCCATGTCACTCCCATCCTTACCCAGGAGGGGAAACATTCGCACAGCTGGGTTGGCAAAAAAGACCCAGCAGGGACTGCAGGTACATATTACTTAACCTGCTGCATGTTTGGTGGCATTTTGAAACGTGCAGATTGGGCAACTGATGGAAGTAAATCACTATATTTGTTTTCCATTAGTTCCTAGACAGGAGCGCTGCCGTCTGTCTGCACGGCACTAATGTGGGTCTCGAGCTCTGACCAGGTACCAATTTTCATGTAGTAAGAAATGTACCTCTCTGTTAGCTCTTTTCTGTGAACAAATTCAGCTGTAAGTAAAGCTGTAAGCATATTCAGCCATTGTTCAAAGTTACCAGGGTGCATCCAGCCAGGCACAGTGATTTTGTACTCCTTCCCAGCACAACGCCCAGGCAGCATTAGAACTTGCCAGGAAACCATGATTGTTCTGTACTCCTCATGCAGCAGGCTAAGAGACCACAAGAGCTGCATCACCTCAGCCAGAATAACACCCCTGCCAACTGAACGAGATAGATAAAATACCACCAAAATGGTAAATAGAGCAGCAATTATTTCAGGCAGGTGACAGATACTTATGAAGGCATTTATAGTGTTTCATTTTCCATTGCTTTTCCTTTTCTAAGTGCTTCCGTACCTCCTGGGGGCTGTCACCATCCCTGCAGTGACACAAACCCCACCAGCAGCACAGAATATGGCAACCTGCAGGGCAGGAAACGAGGAGGTAAAGGAGAATTCTCCTCTGCATGTACCAGAGGTGCAGATTTCAAGAGGGGTCTGGGACAGTGTCTTCCTACAGACACTGATGCTCTGCTGGCAGGGCTGGCTGTGGCTGTATGCCAGAGCTCTGATTTGCTCCCAGCCCTGTCTGAGCAGCTCACCAGCACTTGGAACTGATTCAGTCTTTCCCTTAGGTTTCAATGGTTCACTAAGGTACAAGTAAATAGGTGCTGTGTAAAGATTCCGGGCTGTAAGAGGGTGTGAAGGGATCCCTTGGACTAAGCTGGAACAACAGCCACACATTTCTGACTAGGTTGGCCAACTCCTTCAGGTCTCCAGTGAATCAGTTCTCTTAAAGCTGGGCATTTATCAGCCCCAACCCTTTGCCAGAAATGTCAGCACAGAACCATAGAATCTTTTCCTTTTTTTTCAGGTGAAAAAGGCTTGGTGAAGGCACAAGGACTGCACAAGTGAGCAGTCCTGCAGGCAAACCCTCTTGATCTCTCTTTGTACCTGGCTGTGCCCACTGAGCCCCATGCAAGCACTAATGGGATGCCGGTCTTCTGCACCTCATCCTTTCCCTTCTGGGCCCTCTGAGCTATGGGAGCAGTCTTTTGGTCCCCCTTTTTCTTCCCTACAGGCTCCCCCGTGCACCTTGGCCTGCCAGATGTGGTCATGTCATGCTCACTCATGGGGTGGGCAGGAACTGACACAGCACCCTGACCTGGACTGCACATGGAACACACAGGACAGGGCATGAAGCCTGGGTGGGATTGATCAGAAAGGGCAGTCAGAGCCCACAGCTCAGCCCCATCCTCAGAGGAGCCTGGAGGGTGCTGCTGTAGGAGAGTGCACCAGCCTTAGAAATTAGGCTGGGGATTAATGCTGTCTGACAGAGGGATGGGTATGACAAAATGAGCTTGCTTGCGTTGCAAAGGGGTAGTGTACATCAGTGAGACAGCCTGGGAGGCTGCCAAAGCTCCTTGTAAACAGAGCATCCTTCTACCAGCGCCCATGCCATCTATGCAGAGGAGCTGACAACAGGCAGGGTGTTACAGCACTGACACCGTGTGCGTTCAGACACCTGCAGCCACTCAGAGCCCTTCCTGATGGCATTTCTTGATGACTGCTTGAGGGCAAAGCCTCAAAGTCTCTGCTTCCACTCAGAAAGGGGAAGAGAAGACACTTTCAGCCCGTGTCTGTTTCTGTCTCAAGAACGTCGCTGAATACTGTCTAATTCAACCTCACTTCTCCAATAATCCCCGTAGCAGGGATACGAGTACCCTTTGAAACTCATTGAGAGAAACTAACCCGTAACTGTGGGGTGCAGTCGAGATACACAGGCTAGGGGAGGGACACCTCTGTCCTCACCCTCTTTCTTTTATTTTCCCATAACATTTGCCATGGGAAAAGAGCTCCTTGGAGCAAAGGAGCCTTTGCTCTAACCCATTTGTGTGCTTTGGTGGTGGCTATGGGAAGTCTCCATCAGTCTGGAGCTCACCACTTGTGCCAAGGAGGTGGATGCGCATATCTGTGTGCAGGGGGATGGGGCACTGCTGGGAAAGGGAGGGTGTTCAGAGAGAAAGGGGAAAGAAACACTCAGCTTCTGGCCTCACAGGGACTAACAGCACCCGGGAGGGCAAAGGAACAGTCATCAGGCACTGTTTTTCACCCTGAACTGTGGTATGCAGAGAGCTGCCCACAGCCTCTCCGCCCCAGCTATAGGAAAGAGGCTGAGACAAGTGAAATTTCAGCATGGAAAATATGGTGTAGATGTGATCAAACAGGCACTTCTTACAATGTGCAATGTGTGCTTACTGCAGAATGGACAATGCTAAATGCCTAGGCAGGAGTGGTATCAAAAGGTTAGCTTATTTGCCTCATATAGTCAGAGATTGACTGTTACGTGGGTGGGTTTTGTGTTTTTTTTTCCAGTTGATTCTACTAAATGAATACCCTCCTTGTTAATATGGTTTAATACCCATGAATATAGAAAGCATTTTACAGAAATATCTGGGCTGCCTGTCCCTGCTGCAAAGGAGTTATGAGCCTGGCAGGCAAAACAAAGCCCCAGCATGCACCAGAAGCAGATGTCGGGGAGGATCAGAACAAATAGCTATGCTGGTAATTCAGGTCAGCCCTTTGCTTACCAGTAAAAGATGTACTTTCTTGCACTGTATTATCCCATACATAAAGAATAAAAGACAAGGGGAAATGTAAGGAGCAGCAGGGAAAGTTCAACCCTTCTCCCACAGCAGCTCAGCAGCTAGCAGAGATGACAGCAAAGCACACTGGAGTCTTGCTGTGTTTGATGCCATATGCTTGCTAAGAAAAGCCACCACCATTTCCATTGTGGAAAGTGATATTGAGCCATTGAGAAGACACACACAGGTCTTACAGCATCCCTGTACTCACCACTAGCAACCAAAGGTGCTGGGTGGGTCTTTGAGAGCAACGAGCAGGGTGAGAGTGGAAGGGGCAGAGACACCTCTGAGATGCTCTGCTTGGGAGCAGTGCTGGGAAAAGGAGGTGGCAAAGCAGATCACAGACCAAGGCACTGCAGGAAGAGCAGGGAAATGGTGGCACTTTAACCTGTACTGCTCTGCCATAGAAAAGGGGCTCAGACATGGATTGAAGGACAGGAGGTGAAATACTTGTTTCCTGAATCTGTACTCTGGTAATGAGAAGCACGGTGGAGCGCACAGCTCTGAGCCCCAAGGCATTCCTCTGCAGCATCTCTTAGTGTCTGTGCTCCCAACAGGATTTACTCTAGGCACTGTTTGAAATCAGAGTCCCACTGACACAAAACCCTTCAGACTGAGTGTGGCTTTATTTTACCCAGCACCCTCCTACGCACCGAGCACTGCAGTATGCCCCTAGTTAGAGCACCTTGGCAGCTGCAATTAAATCACTATGTAGTGTTAAGCAAGGCTGACGAGAAAGGGATCAGGGCCAGCCTGGGTCATAGACCCTGCCTCTGTGGGTAAATCATTCCCTAGAAGCTTCTCCACCTGCCTCCTAGGCATGTTGGTACTGTAAGGGAGCAAGGTTTTCACAGAGGTGCAGCATCTCAGGTGGGAGAAAACCCCTGTAAGAACAGCACAGCAGGACAATAAGGTGACAATAGGACAGTGAGACAATGCACCCTGCATGGTGTGATGGGGTGAGCAGAGAGCGGTGCTGTGCTGGCTCACACTTGCACCACGTGCATCAACCACATCCTCTGCCTGCAGCTGCTCTGCTTTTACCTGAGCAGTGCCCTCATCCCTGGGATGCTCCTCAGCCATCTGCACTCATTTCTTCAGCAGATGCCAGGTCCTTCACCAAAACTACTGCCATGTCTGTGGCTTTTCAGGAACCAGTGCTGCCAGTGCTCAGTGGCACAGTGATTTGGGCAGGCAGGAGCCCTGCTGCACGGGGACAGCCCCACATTACCCTGCACCCTGGTCCCCTCAGCATGGGGGGCTTTGTAAGTTCTGCAAAGGGTCAACAATGTGAGTGGGAGCAGCTTATCCAGTCCTCACTTGGCTGTTGCCTCTCCCTGATTACACCCTACGTCTGCAAGGGTTGTGGGAGATGCTCAGGGACCGCTGGAAAAGGAGACCTTTAGGTCATGTCCTGTGTTCCCTGTCTCTATCCAACAGTTTTACCCTGCCCCACTGCTGCTGTCTGCCCCATAGAGGCCATTGCACCCTAATGTGGATGGGAGGCACCATCCTGCCCCATCCTGGCCATGCCCCTTGTCCTGTCCCTCAGCAAAGAGAAGGCCCCCAATTCATAAAGCGCAGGTCCCAGAACGGGATGAGCCCACGTGCGGAGGATGCAGCAGGGCTGCCCGCACTGCTGGGTGCGGCTGACAACTCTCTTTTGTCTTGGTTCCTCTTTTCACAAACAGCAAAGTTCGAACTCAGCAATACCATCTCTGCCGCAGGCAGCCCCAGGGATGAGCTGGGTGACTGAGATGTGCAGAGCACATCAAGTCTGCTGCCCACCCGCTGCATCCCACCACACATGGTGGGGACAGGTCCTGGCTGCAGTGTGTGCTGTGCAAGCAGGCTGGAGAGCCACCCTTGGGCATGGTTGCAGACGCTGTCCTGGTAGCAGCTCGAGTGGGGGATCTGGACAAGGGGAAGCCACTCTGGGCAGGAGGATGTCCTCTGCTGCAGGTTTAGCCCTTGGTTTTTGAGTAACAGTGTGTTGTGCTCACAATCCCTGCAACTGCAGACACATTTCCCTTGGGAGCGGGCTCCTATGGCCCATATCATATAGTACAGATGCTGCTGTCACTTCACACCAGCAACCGAAGGTGCTGGTCCCATTCCCCAGCTTCTATCACACCATACATAATCAGCAGGTTTCTCTAGCCTGCATCAGCCCAGACACATCCTCGCCATGGACTGGGACATGGCTGGGTGCTAATTTAGTGATTTTTATCAAAGATTGGTTTAGGGAAATACTCCAGTTCAGACAGATCCAGAACAATGCAAGGTTACAGCCCTGAACCACATCTCACACCTCCTGAGGGGTCAGATAACATGTGAGCCTGCAGATACCCAGTAACTGACTGCTGAGATGAAAATGTGCAGCCTGTGTAGGAAGAGCCTGACAGAGCCCTGGGGGTCCCCTGGACTTCCAGCACCAAGAAAGCCCATTAAAGAGCACTTCATGTGCCTCCTGGATACACAGGGACTCAGCTTATGGCTCCCTATGTCTTTGCTGGGCACTAGCACCCATCTCCACTGCAGTGAGGATGTGGCATTTGTGCAATGTGCAAGGAGATGTGGCCACCTTGTGCTCCACTGCCTGCTCCTCAGAGGAGCATTATGGCCCCTGCAGAGGCTTTTCCATCACGCTGAGGTCTTCTGCCTTCCATCCCCAAACAGAGCTTCACCTCAAAAACCCAACTAATACCCAGATCTCTTGGACATCAGCTGCAGTCCTCTCTGATACATCCTGCGTGCAGTAAAGATAAAAGGCAACCTAACGACAGGAGGGCAGCAAAACCTTCCTTTGTGGGTACAGGAGTGAACCCTTGTTACCTGTTTCCTCAGGCTCTCCGGAGGTGTTGGGGTCCGGCTCTTCCTCCTCCTTTGCTGTCAGCAGAGGTGTGAGGAGCAGAAGAAAGATCCATCGCGGCAGGGCCATGTTTGCTTATGCTTCCACAGCAGGACGAGGTGTCAGCCCCGCCGGGCTCCTCACAGCGCACCCATCTGATTGCAAGAGGTGCGAGCACACAGAGGAAACAGAAATCACATACAGTGCAAGAGGCTTCCTCATTGGAGAGAGAACCTCTGCCAGTGTCAAGCGCTGCTTTCGTTCTTCTCTTCTCTCCCAAGGGCAGCTTCACGCCCCTTTTACAATTGCGCTGCCCCGAGAACCACCGTTTTCAGGCTTTGTGGCAGGAGATGCTACCAGCCACAACAGCTGGGTTGCTGCTTCCTCTCCCAGCACAGATATCGACAGTCCCCAGGGGACCTGAGAGTTGTGCTCGCTCATGGCTGGGGTTTTCCAGGAAGATGGAGCCTCCATACACACACAGTAAAACCAGGCAGAGACTGCAGCAGGACAGCTCTCACCTTGTTATTGCCTGATGAGGACTGTGATGGAAAGGACTTCTGCAGTGCACTGATTGCTTTAATTACCTGACAGTGCATGCTATGGGCAGGAAACACGTGGTTTTGGGAGAAGGGGCTGGGTACTCATGAGTGGGCTGAGAGCAGATGCTCAGGAGTAAGCTGATGAAAGCGCTGGGGACCTATGGAGCCCAAGTGTTGTGGCAGGTTGTGTTACCAACACATGCTGGGTGCGGGAATGGCCTTGAAGAGGTGAGAAGGTGGCACAGGGACAGCAGTGTGCAGGGAGGTGACTGCTGGTGATGCTGTACAGCTGGAGGCTGGTGACAGTGGCCGGGAGGACCAGTGGGCAGGAGTTGATGAATCTGTGCTCCAGCTGGATGTGATTGGTCTGCATCCCAGCCAAAACACACAGCAGTGATTAAAACAAGCTCTGACATCTTTCCTGAGTCTTTGCTACAGGGCTGCAGCCCCTTGTGATGGCCTTCCTTTTTGCTCTTCAGCAAGACCCAGTACTCCCAAGCCTGGATCAGGCTTTGCTTTCTACTGATGCACATGCTTTGTTTGATTTGCACACCCTACAACACCTTTATTCAGCAGCACCAAGAAGGCCACCATGAGCTGGCCCTCTCCAAATACTCCAGCCACACCAGAAATCTGAGCATAATGTGGTACAAGTCTTCTTTTTCTGCAATTATGGTGCTTGAGGGCAGAGCCTCCATCAGGCTTTTATGTCTAGGGACAAAGCTGGAGTCTGCCTGGCCACTTCCTTACGCCCTTTATGCTCAGAAATGCAGTGTCATCCTCTCAATCTTGTCTGTGCTTCACCTCCTCCTGCAACAAAGCTGGCAGGGCCACTGGTCTCCCCGAGGAACATGACTTTTTGTTCCCTTTGCTCAGATTTGAAGCTCACCCATAGAAAGTTTACCATACTGAAATGTTAACAAGTGTCTTGGGGTTGCAAGTGCACAGCCAGCAACTCGGATATCAATTCTCCTTTCCCCTTGATGCTTGTGGGTCTTTCAAGAAGCAATTGAAGGGCTACAAAAGCACACTCTATCAGTAGGAATAGGTTGCTCATTTGGAAGATCTTTGGAAAAATCAGTAGAGAGATCCTATAAGTTGAAAAAGACTGAACAAACAAAATCACATCCCCAATCCCTCTGTGCACCACTGCCTAACACAGCGGCTGTCAGCAACTATGCTAACAGTATACGGCATCTCCAAAAGCCCTTCATTGTCCCATCTGAAACCTCAAAAGCCATGGAGGAAGTGTGGCCCAAGCAGTTGCCAGGAAGCCCTCTTGCTCTTTCACTCCTCACGCTTCCCCTTGCTCCACATCAGAAAAAACCCATCCTTGAGCATAACACGGGCTCTTGCATGGAGGGTAGGGGGGTGTTGCAAGCCAGTGCCACCTTCCCCAGTGGGTCCAGCAGCTACATGCCCTGGTTGCACAAGGCAAACCCAAAGCCACAAAGACAGCTTTGGCTCAGTTTGCAACAAGACAGGACACGGGTGTCCTGGGGCTTCTGTGTTTGGCAGTCCCACTGTGACACCCCATCACAGAGCACAGGTCTGGCACAGCGGGAAGATGATCACGGTTTATTTGTGTAGGGTGTAGGTAGGGAGCTCCGTCCTGATGTGATGCCAGAATCCAGGCATTCTGCCCCGCACATGTCCCACCTTACCACGACCTGACAGTGTGCTGCCATCTGAGCCATGTCTCACAGCCACCTTGCCACCCTGGGGGATGTCATTTCTCCTCTGCAAGGGCATGCTCTCCCCTTGACCCTACAGACTTTGTGTCAGATTTGGAACTCTTGAAGTGTTTGCAGAAAGGACCGCTGGCTGCTTCTACAGGCTGTTCTTTGCCCTTTTTTCCTTTGTCTTGCTGAATTTCTACATCTTATATGCTATTTTTTGTCATCTAGACAACTCTTTGAAGGGGCCTGTCTATTCCACATAACCTCTGGCCCTAGTGGTTACCCATGCTGGTTTCTCTTTACCTTTTGATACCAAAAGCCGTGAACAGCTGCCTTAAATCTTTGCAATCTTGCCGGACACTGTGTGACCACGTTGCTTCTTTTAGCTTCATTTTATCCGAGTTTCCTCATTTCACACATTTCCCCTTTCTGAAGATAAACAAGATGCCACTGGATTTTTACAGTCTTTGGTGATTATGCAGGGTCATGGAAATGAAGCATGTTGTGGCCATCGCCATGGGGCATCCCTTTCCTGAGAATGTGCTTATCCCAGTCCTGCATGGAGCTCAGTTCCCTATCTTCCCCCTTGGCTTTGTGGCACACGTGGAGGAGCCACACATCAATGCCTTTCTTGCCTCTGCCTACTACTGCAAACCAGCCAACGGTAGTATTATATCCAGTCTCTTCCTTTTGTTTGAGCTTCTTGTTCCCAAAGGCCTATCTGCAGTGCAAAGAGGTCTACATCCCTCTCCTAAAGTGGGGATCCTGTTGCTGGGGCCACACTTGGAGAAAGGGCTCCTGCCTGTTCCTGCATGCAGCTGGAAGTTGGTATGCCCTGCTCCCTGCATGATGCTCTCCAGGAGCAGCACCTCACCCAAATCTCCATGCTGTCACCCACGGACCACAGGCAGAGACTGGCTCTTGCCCCATGAGCATTGCAGCAAGGGGAAACAGGGGCTCTGTGCTGTGAAGGCTGCTCGAGGGCAGTGCTGACACTGAGGTTTGTTCAGAGAAACCCTGTGGGTTTCCTTGTGCAGATGGGGGCACTGAGGCGGAGAGGGAGTCAGCGAGGGGCCAAGGAAGGAAGTCGACACGGCAGGTGCCTGTTTCAGTGCCATGCCATGACCGCAGCGCCGTGTGTCCTCCGACCGAAAGGGAACCGGGATGTGCCTGTCCCTGCTTCAGCACTGCTCCTGCCATGAGCAGGGTCACACCAGCCAGGGACCAGGGAAGCAGCTCCTGTAACCCTGGATCAGGAGCTGGGCTGTCCCTGGGCAATGCTGCAGAAGGGCTAGCCTGAGCACTGGGTGCTTTGAGCATGCACAAAGCTCTCATGTGCTCCATACATGGTTTGACGTCCCCAGGGCACTGGTCACAGAGGTGTCAGAGCCACCTACATGCCCATCCGCAGCCTGGTATGGCATAGCTGCTGCATGGAAACCTGTGGGATCTGGGGATGTGCCACTGCCTGTCACACTGGGTCTGGCTGCCAGGAAGGGTGTGGGAAGGAAAGGCATTCCCCCCATCTCCCTGATATGTGGGCCTTTCCCTTGGATGCACACATTCCTGCTTGCAACCCGTGCTCCCCTGTGCAGACATCTGCCTCCCTGCTGCCTTCAGACTCTGTACTGCCTGCAGCCCTTGCAAGAGAAGAGTCCCAGCAGAGCATGAACCCATTTTCCACCACACTGACACTCCCAGGCCAGCTTGGACAGGGCTTGGAGCAACCTTGTGTAGTGGAAGCTGTCCCTGCCTATGGCAGGGCTTTGGAACTGGAGGAGCTTTAAGGTCCTTTCCAACCCAAACCACGCTGTGATTCTATGATTCCTTGAAAAGCTGCTGTGTTAATGTGGTACCTTCTTTGTTCTCTGTCGGATGCTGCAGCAGTGATGATGATGTGACAGTCACACTCCTCCTGCAGGCCTGACACTGGCTGCTATTGAGCCTGTTTGATGAGACAACCTCTGCTTCCCCATGAGCCTTGCAGGCATGGCTTGCAGGTCTGTCCTTGGAAACTGTTTGTGGCACCCTGGCTCAGCTATAGGGTTCCCCCTCTGAAGGCAGCTCTCTTGCTGTGGCTGCATAACCCCAGGGCCCTGTGCTCACCCCAGGGCTGCCTGTTCTCACTCCATGAGCATCCCCATCCCACCTCTGGCTGTGTGTCCTGCCTAAACGTGTGTTCCCATCTCATTTCTCCCAGCCTGTCCCCAGACCAGCTTGGCAGTTTGCTAAGGGCTCTTCTTTGCTCCCCACATGCCAGATATTCTGCTCCCAATGTTCTTTCCCAGAGTCCTGCACCTCTCTGCTAAGACCTACTCCAAGATCTGCAAGGAGGCCAGGAGCAAATTCCCTGGGCAGCACCCGAGAGCTGCCTGCAAGGAGCAGGACTGGAGGGCATTGATGCTGCTCCAGGACCCTGCACAGGTTACATGCGATGGGCAGGACGGACTGTGCATCTTGCTGCTGGTCCAGAGCTGCCTCTGGCCTTGCTCTGCACCTCAGGACCTACGAGGTGGGCACTGGTGCTGGGGTGGTGACTGCTCTGCCCTGTGCCTGTGGTGGGCAGGGGAACATGGGACTGGCCCTGGCAGGCAGCTTGCAACCAGGGTGTTGGGAAGGAGCTTTAGCAGGTGCAGTAAAGAGGCCAGGGACTTCCACTGCTAGCTAGTGAATGGATGCTCTGCACTGCCGTGTGCCTTCCAGCCTCATGGGCTTCATGCCCTGTGGCCAGTTCCTGACTGGGACAGGCTGACAGCCACCACCAGGACCTGTTTGAGTTTAGCCAGATGACCCTGAACAAGGCTTCAGCAGCAGCATCAACCCCAAATCCATCCCCTGACACCCTGCATCCCTGCATCCAAGGTTGTCCCAGCAGCAAGCACCCAGGGACCTGCTCCAGCACGGAGCAGGGACTTACAGGCGGCTGTAAATCCCCTCTCGTTCCCCAGGGCTGACGCAGCATCATGCAGCACACAGCCCTCTTCCCCATTTGGGCCAGTGCACGTGCAGAGAGCAGCTTGGATCTGTAATTTGTA